GAACACAAAACTTGCTTTTCTGTTTCCTTCCTGAAGAAATTGGCAGGAAATAGGCGTTTTCTCCTTCTTCAGTCTTCTTAGCGGTAGGAAGGCTGAAGACACCAATGCAGAGGCTGTGTTGCAGAATTCACAGACTTCGTGCCAATAAGGGAAGGTGGGACTCTCCTATGTTTTCTTTCCCCCAGAGTTATTTAACAAATTTCCTCCCCTTACTCCCTATGAGCTAGACAACTCATATTTCATTGATGCATCTGTAATAGGCAATAAAAAAGTGTGTCATACTTTAAGCTAATTTGCTTTAAAAATGCCACTCAACCTGCACTAGTATGCTTATTTGCAGTACTTGCCTAATTGACACAACTTTATAGGGCCTAGAAAATATATTATAAATTATCTCCTTGGAGGACAGGAATTAAAACTGCATAAAAAGGAAGAAAAAAATATTATGACACCTCCCATTTTCATGGGACCATTAATTAAAAAGTAAGTTAAACTGTATAACGCCATCATTGACAGGAAACTCCACGTCTTGTAGACACAGTCCTGCTAAAATAAAATAAAATTAATAATCCAATCAAAAAAGATACGTTTTCATCCAACACTACCAAGTACCCACCTAACTCATCATCTCTCCCTTCCTGCACAATTCCCTAGTCGGTGATTAAAAGGAGTGACAAAAACCTTTGACTTCTCACCTGGCTGTAGGGGAAAGAATAAGTGGTTTGATTTTCTATGGAAGACAGAAGTCCCTCCCTACACAAAATACCTACCACAGACACCGCAGGCTACTGAAGTAAGAGTTCTCTTCTGTTGTCTGGATAACACAAGTGTTCTTTTACAATATTTTTAATTAGGCAACAATAATGACTTAACATCATACACATATAATATGTAATTTTGTACTGTTGGCAACAAGCAGAACAACAGGGAGAGGACACCTAGTGGTGATCTGTGATAATTAGGGTTGGTAGCGCAGAAGCAACAGATGAAGCCGTTAATGCAGGACCTGATTTGGCAAAGCTCTTACACACTTACTTAATTTTTAAGCACTTTAGTAAGACTTAGCATTCAAGCAAGCTTGTATTTATGAGCTTTTCTGGATCAGCATTACTGTGATTATTAGAAATAAACCAGTAAAAATTAGAATAAGACACGTCTCTGCGATACGCTCAGAAATATATTTCATTAAACACCTGAGCTTTAGCAAACATCTAGAATGGATATCAACACTTATGTGGGTTCCTGAACTTTGAAAAGATTTGGCAAATTGAAAACCAGATTTCGGTACAAGTCAAACCAAAACAAGACCTGGCTGAAATTTACAATGATCACATATTTTACGTGATGATTTTTTCCAAAACATAACCTTTACAGCACATCTTGCAATAAGCATTCAGTCACTTTAAAATTGGTTTTAAATCTACATAATCAGACATCTCAGAACAATAAAGACCTAGAGTACAGGTTTAGAAGTGCCACTTCTATTTACTCATACATCTACTAGGTCTTGTCCTGTGATTAGAACAGCTGTAAGCAAAGGTATTAAACTCTGGTTTTTAAGCAGCTTTTTGGAAAATATAAATTTTAAATTTATATCATAGACAAATGTAAAGCAAAATAGCGTATCATTTGACATGTAATAAAGTATTCATTCCTAATTGTTAATATCTTTTATTTTTAATTGTTCTGCTATCTATGACCATATTTAACTAAGAATAACTCACTAGTTGCACGCAAACCTATGTAAAACATTCAGGAATTAGAATTAGAATAAGAAGTAGGTCCAGTATATCTTGTTTGTTATTTTTAGGAATCTATGATTAAAAAAAAAAAAACTCCAAAACAAACCCACTGTCAGTAGGCAAAAGTATAATTTCTGCAATCACTAATTTAAATAATATTTTTCTTCTTGCATGTTATAGTATATAATTTTATGATCTATTTGTCAACATCTGAGTTCTATAGGACTGGAATTCAATTGTAGATATTGTAGCCAAAAAGCAGTTTTAGGACAATGTGAATCTGCAAATTCAGTAAATTAATTCCTGCCAGCATATCTCCTGTCCCTTTGTTAAAGTGTTTCTTCCCATTTCCACTGAGTCATTCACTTGGATAAGCTAGTAACAGCAGACTGATACGAATATATCAATCAGATTTCAGATATATTGCACCACAGGCTATAACTCTGTTCCCTCATAACAGTTAAGGAGAAAGCTTCTGCAATGCATACATTATTTACCTCAGTATTGTTCTACATGTCTGTTACCAGCTTGTTCTTCATTTATTTAAATGATATGGAAATAAATTAAGAAAAGGAACTGCGTTTCACCAGTATCATATAAAAATCTTTCAGATTTTTGCCTATTTATCTTGAAGTTCAGGATACTGACCAACTAAAGTCCAGGTATGTGATACTAAAAAAGAAAAAGCTCAATTTCAATCTGCCTTTTCTGGTGAAGGACATATAAATAACTCAGTGGGATTAACAGCCTTATTATACAACCTGGTTTGTGCATCAGTCAGTTTTCCATGAAGTATCCTCTTGGCAGCTTATGAAGAAAGAGTTTTCTGGATGTCCTCTCAGTATTTTTGACATAATGCTTATTACTCTGGATCCAAATACATAGTATTTCACATTTATCTGCACCACAGTTAAAACCAACATGTCAGCCCACGTGCAAAAACTATTAAATCCTTTTAACCACGCACAAACAGGCTCCAGTTCTGTGTCATAAAAATTAGTTAACAGTTGCTCCCTGTTGTGCATGTGCAAACACACACAATACAGGAAAGATGACCATCAGCAGCAAAGGTGTCACTGACTACCCCTACGGGATCATTCAAATATTGCTTCCTAATTGAGCACAGTTCATCCCTACCCAGTTCTTTTGTTTTAAGACATTACAATGCTATAACACATAAATTCTCCAAAGTGGTAATGGATCACCATGCAGAACAGGCACACAAACTATATCCAATGCAATAACAATCCAAAGTAATAATCAACCTCTGAGACAACAAATGTCAGATATGAAAATCCATGACCACCTTCATTTCTGGTATCTGTAAAATGCTAAACAAAAAAAAAAAAAGAACATTTTTTTTCTGGTGCATGTTTAATTTTGGGATTTATCAGAACCCAATTCAGTCTATATATTTATCACTGTTCTCACAGTCATGAGAAATCTTTTTTAAAAGCAGCCACAGAGCTTTTGCTGCTTTATTGCAGTCTCAACCTCCCCCCCAAAAAAAACCCCAAACCTTCGAACCCTCTTTCACCTGCCTGAGAACATCCAGGGAGCACTATGTGCTATCATACACAAAAGATGAAGTCCACTTATTTTTCAATACTTGTCAAATAAAGTATCATACAATAATTATTTCACAAGTTTTACTAGTGGAATCAAAGGTGAGGTTACAATCAAGCAGTCGTTAGCTAAACATTAAATGGACCAAACATCATCTATTGCCGGTTTGGACCACATCCTCTGGTCACTTCTAGTCCCACTTAGCGGCCAATTCAACTATTTTTCATTTAGAATACCTGATTTATCTTTGACAACAGACGGAAGGGGGAAAAAAAAAAAAAAGGGTATTCATTTCTCTGCTTAGTAGGCTTTATAGCAGCAAGCTATTAACTCAAGCTGCCAGAAAGTAATGTCATTGAATGCATTTCAGAAGGTTGTCTCTCTGTAAAGCACAGATGAGAGAAAAGCACAGCTTTATGGTAGAACTGCAAAATATGCTTAATCATTTGCCTTAGTTAAATTGAGTACAAAACCGCAGTGCTCTATTTCTGTGTCAAAAACATAGTTACACCGCATTACAGGGAGGCAAAAAGAAGTAGAATGTAAAAAATACAGTAATAAAAATAATGACTTATTTCAGGAGCTTTTTGAGAAACAACTATAAATCTATTAGACTTTTATACTTAGTATCATCCAGCATCATGGCATTTTTAAATATAATTTGACTTTGTTTGTGAAATGGCTTCCCATTTAGGTTTCTGTTAAATCGGAAAGTGAATATAATACTAGAGATAACCAGCATAAAAAGCACTAGAAATGGTACCAAATCATCCTTCAATATTCATTTCATTAAATAAATCTTTATCAAAGTAGGTAAATAAATTTATGCAAATCTATTTTAATAGTGCTTCCACGAAAATTTTACAAAATAATTTTCATTACACTTCCTGAAAGAAAGGTTTAGAAAACAGCAGGTTTTTTTCCCATGTTTTTAGTACTCCCTTTTCAAATATACTATGATATTTAGAACTACAGAAATGGGGACAGGCAAGAAATAAAATGACTTAATCATGGTGGTATATGCCAAAGCATCAAACAATTCCTAGCCATGAGGATGCCAACTTAGGGAATGCCATAATTTCCTGGAAATGTCACCATGCCGAATTAGCAGGCAGCATAAGGTCACATCTGGAAATAGTGCAGTTGACAGTTTAGAAGGCAATGACTCAAAATTTGAACTACCTATTTGTTTGTAAAGAAGGTCAGTATTTGATATATTCGGCCTACACACAGCCTATGAACAAAACAATGAACATTCTAGGAAATCTGCCCAATTATAAATGGTTTGAATTTCTCCTGAAATAGAAAAATATGAACAGGTATTTTAAATTCTCTGTGATTATAAAACTATTAACTTCGTAAGTTTATGTGCTAGTCACCAAACTCAAATGTATTTTCAGGTGGTTGCTAAAATTTCTAATATTCTCAGTAGGAGCCCATCCATGCTTATTGTGTTGATCGTCCCAAACATATTTTTTGGTCTCTGTTAGCAGAGGGAAGATGGTTGCTCTGTGGTGGGTTGTTTTTTTTCCGAAAAGGCTTTTCTACTAGCACTGGTATGTAATTACACTAATCAGTGAGTAAAAACTCTTTATTCCATTCTGGTTCTGTTCTAGCTCTTCAGAGAGACCTGACTAGTTTTCTGTACGAATAAGATCTTAACAAATGATGTAATAACCATGTAAATCTTACCTCTTCCCACTGGTGTATGTATCTAATCAGTCTTGAAAGGCGTAATAAACGTAACAGGCTGAGGATTTTTGTAAATCTCACAATACGAAGTGCTCTTGCTGTCTTGTAAACCTCTGAATCCATTCCTTTTTCTACAATGAGAAAGATATAATCCACTGGTATTGATGAGATGAAGTCAACCACAAACCAGCTTTTTAAGTAATTCATCTTAATGATTTTAGGGTCCAGTATTATTTCAGAGCTGTCTTCATTTACAGTCCCAGTTCTAAAATTCATGATCAAGTCCAATAGAAAAACAGTGTCTGATGCCACATTGAAAATAATCCATGGTGTTGTTGTTTGTTCTGTGAAGAATGTGATTCCAACTGGTATAATGACAAGGTTTCCAACCATCATTATCAGCATGATTAAGTCCCAGTAAAACCTTAAAAAAAAGGAAGAAACAGAATGGTTGATGAACTGTGGTAAAACACACTTAGAAAAAGGGTCTCAATCATGCTGCCAACTTCACCTCAAGATGCTTAAACATTTTGTTAATGCTAAGAAAACTATCATTGTTTTGACCCATTCAATATATTCACAGTCAGTAGAGAAGACAAAGTAATTAATACATTCCACTATGTACCTTCCTTCTCAAGAATACGCATCTAGGATAAAGACAGTACCATGGCGTATCACTCCATGGCATATCTGAAAGTTGTGCAACTGTGGTACTCAGTAGACTTCTCCAGACTCCTGTCAAAACCTATTAGTGTATTTATATAACTAAAATTGATGTCTGGTGCCAATCAGAAGTGCTTTAGCAATGCAATATTTTTTTAAGGCTTCTATCCAAATGGAAACCCAGATATCTAACAGACAACATATTAAATGTAAGTACCTCTTTGCAAATGTACTCATACCATTACAGTGCTGGAATAAAATTACAGGAAGATAAAAAAAGCACTGAAACAAAAAATAGAAACAAAAATTAGATAACATCAAAACCTTCATCCACTTTTACAACCTGAATTGAACTTCCATGTATTTTTACAAACTCATAGTCTATCTTCTTTCAGAGCTAGCTAAGAAGCCTGGACAATAATAGCTGCAACTTGCACAGTATAAAATGGGTACTGCATTTCCCCATTTTGCTCCAGAAGTATCTAAAGGCTCCCTCTAATACTGTCAGAATGCTGCTAACAGTGCCTGATGCAGATGGCAGAGAGCCACACTCATAACTTTAGTATCTATTATAGAAATGGTGAGTAAACCCACCCGTTACACTGAATATACATCTATCCTGAGGGAAGATTTCCAGGGGATGGTAGTATATACTCGACAGATTTTTAAAAAATTATTATAACTCCTAAATGTTAAATTGTTATAGAAAGTTATTCTTTTCCAATAAAAGAACTGAAACTGACCTTGAGAAAGCCTGAACCCAACACATGACCTCTTGTTCTGCTTGAGAACACAATCTATTCAACTAAAGGTGATTTGGAGAGGCACAGAAACCAGTCAACAACAGTTCCCCATGGACTTATTAGACTTCCTAAAAGACTAGAGGCAGAAATGTCTCCACAACTAAGTATTTCCCTGCTCCAGCCCTCCGTCGCAGTGGGGTCCCGCTCACTGGGCACGTGATAGACATGCCACCAGCGCACCACTCCAGCACTGACTTCCAGGCCACTTCCATCATACTAGCACCAACCTCCTGGCATGGCACAAACACCCTCATCTTGGTAACGGGTTCGTGGCAGTCAACAATAATAGTAGTTTAACTGACCATAAAACATTTCAGAACCACTAGTTTAGTTTTTGCTAGACTTGCACAGACTATGTGGATTACACTAGATTTCAGAGACTGCTTCTTGTATTCACCACATGATCCTGGTTTATAAATTCCCTTTGTTTCGTGTTTATGTGTGAAAATACTTCTTTTTACAAATTGCTGATCTGAGAATTTAAATAATTAACTGTAACTGTAAAACACACTAAAGGAAGCATAGGATTAAGAGTGGCATGAGAATTCCCAGTTTGAAAATTCTTTATTCCAAGATAAATTTACAGAGATTAAGCTTGACTATCATTTGAGAGAGTAGCTGGCAAAGTACGTTTAACTGGTACTCAGAAATTACATGAAGTAGACTCTAGAAGTAATTCCCTGTGTACCACAATGTGATTTATGTCTTACACATTTTCAATCTGACAATAAATGTGACTACTAAGTGCTATAAATACTCAGTTTCGTCCAGGCTGTATGCATTTTTGCTTAGCATGTGATGGTATTCACCATATCCGTGCCATATCTGACAAAAACTTGCCGATTCATTTTTTTAAATGCATGTAATAGGCTTCTTGCTGTGCTAGATTCCTTATCAATAATCTAGAATGACCACAGAGAAGGAACCACTAAGTTCATGTATCAATGCTGCTATTACCTACAGTTACAATTACCAAAAACACTTTTACAATGCTGTCGACCGAAATATTTCACAAAACTGTTCTGGGGGAGTAAATGTCTCCAAGGAATCCTGAAAATGAGTGGTAAACAACTAGGAAATAATCACAAGAGGCGTACTTGTATCTGTGGCTCACTCCTAAGCAAAGCATTGCTTCATTTCAGATTGACCTTTACAATTCACCGGCAATGGGAGCAGTTATGCAACGAAGGCTAACCAAAGCCGCACAACAACCAGCCACCCAGCCAACACAAAATATAATACAGAACCAGGTGTTTTTATCCTACAGTAATCCTCAGCTTAAAGGATCGTTATGTACTGTTATCATGCAAAACACAGTGGAATTCCTGATGTCGAATGTCAGCAAAAGTAGCAGCGTTAGGGTTTCAGTAATAAAGTAAGATTGAATGCTAGGGACTATGAGATTGTACCGGTTCTGTAGTTTGATTTTAGCCCACAATATAGTATAAGCTGATTAGTTAGTAAGCAAAATTCTTATTCTATTACGATTTATTTTTCATTTAGAAATGGATCAAACATTGTCTTTTAGGAAAATGTTTCCAAATTCCATTCTGTTGGCCATGTTACATGATATTTTTCTTTCAGGTGAGAAAAACTCGATGTAACTCCCTGTATTGCCCTTCTGCGACCTGTGCAGAGAATGTAATACAATGCGTTCCTTGCCTACCAGTTCAGAACATCCTACTATTCATGTAACCAAGAGCGAGATGAAAAGCTTCACGAGTCAATGCAAGGAGCTGCTATTGAGACACTGAGGTAGCCCTTTGTTTCAAACTAATTGTAGCATTATTTATTTATTTTTGCTACTCCCCCTCCCCCATTGAGGATGGTTATAAATTTAAAACTTACAGAGCTCCACATTTGTATAAGTTACTATAAAATATTGACAAAAAGCAAGGAAGAGATAGGCCTATGACACAAAATTGAGGAAAAAAAAATGACAGCCTGGGGGTAATAAGCTCTTTCAGAGCTCATAATTGGAAGTGAGAACTGACCTTACCCCATAGCAAACAGCTATAGAGCTTACTGCTCCTCTGAAGCTAACTTAGTACAGCTACTGCTCGTCGTCATTAAGTGAAGGTACAGAGGTCAGCACCACACCACACTGAACTATTCCTGAAACTTTTTAAATGCTTCTAAATGACTTGGAGGTTTACTATCTCGAGGTGAAAAAAAGGCTTCAAGTATGAAAAAAGTATTAAAAAACAGTTTTAGGACATATTTTTTATCATTTTAAGATTATTTTATACAGAAATAAAAAAAAACACGCTAATTATTACTTCGGTATTCTCAAATAAAACTAGTTGTACTCAGTCATCTTTTAGTGATCTTTTCACTCTTAACTTATCTACTGTACTTTCAAAACTTACGGTAATAACACGGTTGTTTTTAAGCTCTGGAACATGGTGCTGAAGCTTTGGTGGTTTATTTATTGCCACAGGCTATCTTGGATAGGATGAACAGTCTGTTCAAAATGAGTGCCTACCCAAGCAGCGATAAAAAACTTTTAAACGTAAGGCAATATGAATTCTAACAGGCATTTTATTTTCCACTTTATATATCCAACACAAAGAAAAGTGAGTCTTAAAGGAGCAAATTTCAGCTCTAAGTTAGTTAATTTGCTGCATAATTTTCTGTATAGACAACTGTGTATCGACCCAGCAGAAGTTATTGTCGTCTCACAAACCACACAAGGGAGCGAACAGCATCTCTAAGGCACTGAGTGCTGTGAATTAAGGTGACAGAGCAGTCAAGGATTTGCTTAAGTTTTCTGAGTTTCCAGAAAGATCATCAAAGTCTGATTATTTAATCAAAAAGAGCAAAACGTATCAGTAAAACTTCATGAAATTCAGTCACAAATACTCATCATCCATGTTATAAAGTGGAAGGTCTTTGCAAAAGATATTCATTCAAATCGTTTGTAAAATATCTTTTGAACCAAACCTGATGCATCTGAGACAGGATTTCACTCTGCACATTCAGAGAATCAAGAACTGTAACAAATGTTCACAAAGCTCCTCTTTAGTTAAATATTTTGATTGACTAGCAGATGCTCAGTGAAATGAACACTGACTTTTTTTATCTCACCTTCAAACACAGCTTTATTTCTTTTGCTTTCATGGATCACCGGTTCACCTAACAGAGAAATCAATGTGCTATATAAAACAAAACAATCTTAGTAGAAATAACAGTAGTTTAAAACTTTATTACAGTATACTGTAACAAGCACTAAACTTGGTATTATCCATGTCAGAATTTGATTCTTATAGAACATGCCATCTTACTCTTGCTGTGTAACTATATTATTCTTTTCGTAAGAGAGATCAAAACATCTGCGACTTGCAGATAATCACTGGGGTGTGTTGAAAAGGACAGGAGAATGAAGAAGGAAGGGTTTTCTTCAGGGGATGCAAATTCTTTTCATGATTGCACAGGTGTCTGCTTGAAAACTTTCTGAAAAATCATCACCATTTTTTTTCACATCGTGAAAGCGAGGATATCCCCTTCTGCCCAGCTCTCCATTTTCATTCTGCCCATCTGTCTCTCTCTTAGACATACACACACCTAGAGGAAAGCATGCTTCTTCTGGGAAAAAAAAGGCATACAAATTAAATTTGAAAATCCTCTATTTTAACAAGCAATATTGCATTCAACACCGTCCATGGAACAAGTTCTGTTTAAACGTTGCAAATCTCTTGTGGAGTGCTTCCAAGATTTTGGCTCATGATTTTGGCTCATGATTTCTTAATTTTAAAATTTCCAAACTTAGAATTTACTGTAACCTAACTGTGATCACATTAATAAAAATGCACTAAAATGACTAGTGAAGTGTCACCTTGTATTGGCCAGTTTTGTGCTAGCAAACGCGTTACTTCTGCAGTTGTGTTGTCCTGTATGGATGAAACTTTCCTCATCTGAATGTACTTAATTTTGCAAAGCTTTAGGGAGACTAAAGGTCAGGTTTTGTTTTTCACTTTGTTTTTAAATATAAACAGTTGTCCTGAAATTGTTGATTTATATTCTTTTTTCTCCTTTATTTCCACTCTAACAGCTTTTAGCTTATGTTAAGTAAAAACAAACAAGGAATCTTGCAAGGCTGAAACAGAGTCCCTTTCGTGGCTCACCCCTTTCGATTATAAAGCACACACTACAGTGGAGCATCTCCTACACTTCAAATGCTGAGGCTGAAGGGCAGAAACATAAAGTAGAAGGTTTTCACACTTTCTTGGGTGAAGATTTCATCAATATTTGCTCTTCTTTAATTAAAGCCTAATGAACTTTCACTGACTTAGCTAGGTAACCTGCTGAGGCAGCAGAAAAGCTTTCTCTACCTGCCCAAGACTGGTCAGTGTGGGATGAAGCAGAGGCTGATGTTCTGAAAACTCAGTTTCCCTACCCAAGTTATGAGCAGTGGTGGACCTGGGAATCTTCCAGCTTAATGGTTTCATTCTGATTCAGACTAAAAGTGATTAAAAAATAAAATAGTAATGAAGTTTTCAGTCCACCAGAAATCTTTATTCAATTTCAGACTAATACTGAAGTCTTTTACTTCAAGGTTAGCCATATATACCTAGAGATCCAATTTATGTGCCTTGCTGTTATTTTTTAAATATTGATGCAACTTTCTACCTGGGAGCAGAAAAGGAATTCAAAGATTAATAAAAATCAATACTGAGTCTTCTTTTTTATGTAGCCATAGAACAAATCTAAAAATTGCGAACCTGCACAATTTCAAAGAGATTTCATGAGTTTTACCAGGTAACTAAACACACTTAGCAGTGGAGATTTTCAACTTGTTGCTCAGTTGTGATTCTATGCACAAGGCAGATGATTAGATAAACACAGCTCTCAGGGGACCTGATCAGAGCCCAGTGGAGCCAATGAACAGCAATTTACTACTTTCAAAAGGCTTTGGTTACAGCATTTGGTTAGGTTTAAAGCTTGAGCACTTCAAAGGCTTGATTACTGGAAAGGAAAATCACAGTATTGTCCACAGAAAGTGACTATAAAATTAACTAATTAACATTACACGAATACGTATATATGTATGTGTATTTTCAGTAAATTCAACTAATATTTAAGCAGTGGACATTTAATCACAAGGTTTTTAATTCTTGGTAAGCATGCAGTAGCTTCTGTCTAAAGTTTTTATAGTATTTTATATGAATTAACAAATTAAATCTCACATTTCTGAGAAATAAAGGTACAGGAGTAATGTTGCCCTCATTGCATGCATGGGAGGAAGAAGAGGACAGAGAAATTATATAATATGGCAATATTATTTAATGATGATTCTCTTTGGTTTTAGCCAATAATCCCCTACCACAAGTGCTTGAATACATGTTTGTTTGCAGTTGCTTTTCCTCCAGAGAAACTTATTAAACTACAGTAGAAAGAATTAAAGCCTGACTTCCACTTAACCTTGGGCAGGAACAGTGCACCACTGCCAGTGGAGCTCTGATACTGCTTTTGCACTCCTCTCATCTTTACACAGTTCCTCCTTTCTTCAGCCCCATTCCTTGGTGAAAAGGCAGGGTGATGCTCCTGTCTAGAAAGCTACCAGCTAGGAAAAAAGTGCTGATGAAGAGTCAGGACTCACAAATTAGTTTTCTCCTGGAAAAATCTGAATCTGTCTATGCTTATCTGTATGGTGCTCAAAACAGATATATTTCACATCATCAAGACTGCTTCTGCATTGACACGCATCACAGCACAAGTAACCTATCTTCCTCAAATTTACCCTCCCCATTCAAACTGTTAGACCGTAGCCTCTCAGTATAAGGCAACATTTTGTGTAGGGACTTCAACTGATTTGTTTCAGTTTCATATTACCAACCCTTAAACCAACTGCAAATTCTGATTCTTTAAGTGTCAGCATATTTCTGTAGTGGATCACTGTACAATACACATTCACATTCTCAAATTAGAAATGACCACTTTACAGGCATGAGGAAAAAGTTTGAGAGAGACAGATCTAAAAATATTTCAGCTGCAAAATAATCTCATCTTTCATGTTGGAACACTTGCATTAATTAAGAATTTTGTAGTGACAGTAATTTTAAGAGTGCCATTTAGAAACATGACATTTAGGATGCCTCCATACTAAGTAAAAAATCAGAGGCTTAAATTGGGAGAAGCCTTCTGTAATTCTTCTCAACAAAGCATCCTATAGAAAGGAAGGCAACTTAACCCACACCTGTGTCGTGGTTTGGGCCAGACTGGCCACTGAGGCAAAACGACAGATGCTCTCCCCCAGCTCTCTCTCCATGGAAAGGGAGGAGAGAGAGAAAGAGACTTACAAGTTTAGAGGGAAATAAATTCCTTTAATAATCAAATATTAATAAGAAAATAATAAAAAAGGAAATAATGAAATATATACAAAACCGTATCAAGCTCCCAGGATGACAATTGCATCACCGTCTGGCACTGGGGCAGTCCCAGGCTGGACCCAGTGATGGACGGGAACTGGATTCCGGATCTGGATTCAGGATCGGGATCAAAGGCAGACAAACAGACAGAGTCCTCCTGGGACAGCGGCCACTGAAGAAAGAGGGCTGACCCTTTGATCCCTCAGCTTTTATACTGAGCATGAGGCAGATGGGACAGAATACCCTGTGGGTCAGTTTTGGGTCACCCGTCCTGTCCGCTCCTCCCCACAGGTGGGACCCCTCTACGCTTTTCCGCTTCCGACCCTCCAACGGGGCAAATAACAAAGTTCACTGCCCTTGGGGGTCACAGCAATAAGTCTAAGCAAGAGCCTCTCTGCATACCATGGCTGGGCATCAGCTATAAACACAGGTCTGATCACTCTGAGACCGAACAGTGTCTGCACAAGATGCTGTTAATTTCAGTAGCTGCAAAGTAAAATTACTGAACAGAAAATTGGTTGTCTTACCTTAAACCTGGACAACCCCCTTGCAAAACCAAAAAAGCCAGACAATATCACCTAATATTCTTCTTTAATAGATTTTTTTTTTATTTTAATGAGTTCGATCTCCCAATTATCAGTGTAATCTTTAAAGTTTATGCTAATGGGGAAAAGTCCATTTTCTCAACTTATCTTCAGAGAAGGAGATGATGGGAAAGACATTGCTCAGTAGCTATTGATAGATCTTGGTCATCAGGTTTGGTGAGGAGACTGGCCTGTAAGCACCAAATGAGTTGGGACAATTAGTTTTTTGATGTGAATACCTCTGACAAAAAAAACAAGACTAGGACCATCAGCTTGGTTCACATAAGACACGGAGATTTCTGGTATTTGACATATATACTACTACTAACAATTTCATTCTTAAAATCAGAGGTAAAACTGGCTTTGTGCATATAACTGTACAAAGATACAGTACTTTTGGACAAGCAGCTTCAAACACGAATTTTCATTTGCTAGAATTTGGTGTATCATTTCTTGAAAAAGTTCATTGAAGGCAGGACTGGGGTCTATGTTTAAACTTTAAAAAAAAAAAAAGAAAAAAAGAGGTAGTCTTCAAATTCATGAAGGGAAAAATCAAAGACGTGAAAAAGTGTAAAAGAACTACAGATAAGTATAAAACAAACTGATGGATTATACATGCAGGCTTTGTACTCCTACATGATGAGTGACAACAAATATACATGCCTGAATATTTTTTGGCTCCAAAGCCTAAGTTTCCTCAAATATAAAAATTTCACAGGTTTCAACCTTTCAAAATAAGTACTGTTTGACGAATCAGTAAGTTTTTTTATTGTAATCCCAGAATATCATATGTTGCAGTAAATAATTTGCTTCAAAAGGTAATTAAATATAATTAAAATATTTATGTATTTAAAAATATGCTAATGACGTGTTTGTTCCTTAATGGCTTATTGTGAAAATAACATGAGAAACTGATGAATTTGTCTTCAAATCAAATAAAAATTATATTTTTCTTCATTTTTACTTATACTTTGATGAAAAAGGATTAAAATACATTTCAGACACTTTTTTAGAAAAGCAAAGGAAAAAGGAAGCTCAAACTCACAACAGAGCAACATAATCAGTAACTACGGTCAGGTCACGTGCATCCCCTTTTGCAAAACAGCTCAATACTGAGAGCTCTCACCAACGCCCAGGAAAATCCATCTGACTTTCCTCATCTACCTGCAGGCAGCTGACCCCAGGATCTCCCACCTCTTGGAAATCCATTACCCGCAAGCCCTAGTGTGTCTCCTGAAGCGAGGTACACTACTGACACGTTCTCTTTCTCTAAACAAATACAACCCAGAGCAGGAACCAAAACCTTCTTCCCAGGGAGGGCAACCGCTAGACCGGAGAGGCATTGTCACTTTTTTTGCTCCATCAAAGCAGAACAACTCTGAGACGTGATATAGTATTGAAAGTATCCATGCCAGAAGTGCTATGCATAGTAAATGTAGAGGTTCAAATCCTCTCCAGCAGAGGATGGAAATTACTCTGCACTTCCAACATGCAGGTTGAATGGTTTTGATTCCTGAACCAATACAGGAGACATTCAGGTACACGCTCAAATACGCACCCTGAAAATTGCATTAGTATGAGTACTGAATTGTTATTTTATTATTTTTATTAACTGAATTAATTGTACCAATTTATCTAAAAATCGACTAATTTAAAATGCAATGTGCACAACACAAAATATTTTAAGAAATTAAAGAAGTAGTCTTTCACTAGCTTGCTTATACCTTTCCCCATTTGTATTTATTAGGAACCCCTTTTTACAGGGTTATGCACCTTAGCAGCTCACCGCTAACGAGCGGGCAGGAAGGAGAATGCTCAGCTAGGAAATTCAACATTCAGTTTTTCCATTATCTTTCAAAACATAATTTTATACTTCATACAGAACACCTATCCCTACCAGAAATAAAATGCAGCTCTTGCAGGTATCTCCTTCCACCAGCCGCATTCAGAAATCCTCTTTTTTTTTTTCCATTATTCCACTTGTACCCAGATCTATCTGCTAGCCATTTGCCTTCCACAGTATTTAAGCATATGCAATGTAATTTTAACATTTCTTTAAAATTTTCCAATTTACATACTGCACATTTGAGTCTTGCCATCCTTCTGACAGGATAGCGCTCTGCCTGCATTGCCAAAACAAATCAGCTAATTATGCAGCTAGACAGAGCAGTGATCAGATAGACCTGATATTCACTTGTTTAAAACAAAAAGGAAAACCCAGAAAAGCAGACAAAGCAAACAAGAAAGAGAATACATGATGTTCAAAGATGTTCTAGTTACTGGCCTAAGTAACCATAATCCTGTTAGTTTTACCACTGCTCCTCTCGTCATCTTTTCATGCTATTTACCCTCTAACGCTCCAGCAAGCTGCACGCAAGCAGGCCTGAGCAAAACCTCCTGCACTGCCATGGTGAGCAGCTCAGCGAAGGGTGGAGAATTGGATTACAAACCAAGCCGCGGCCTCTGACATCTTATGAACATTGGTCAGTGTAATCGATGCAATTACTGAACGGCCCTTTTGCAATTTAATTCAATATAAGGGAGCAAAGAAGTTTTTTTTTCAATGAAATCATTTTGGTTATTCTTAAAAGAACCAACAATCAAATGCCTTAAAAAAAAAAAACCAAACAACAAACAAAACAACCTACATATGCTTATTTATTGAATGGTTTTTTGATCTGCAAAACAGGAGATAACCTGGAATGTAAAGCACCCCAAGAGATTGCCTTTACATGCAGTGCGGCCTTTTCTCCTTTCAGTACACCTTTGCCAGCAGCAGTACTGCAGGTCATATCCATCACTTGGTTGTAATTGAAAAAAGAGGTTCCATTACATTTTGTCACAGGTATACACAACACTAAAATAGATGGTCAAGATCCATTTCTAAAAACAATATGTATTACATTTACAAACGATGTGTTGAAAGTATTTATTGAATTATGGCAGATTACTGGCTTGAAATACATCTGTTAATTATTTTGTTTTAGTTTAGTCATATGAAATGTTTGTTGATCCAGTGGAAGGTATTTGTTACCAATATTTAGATTAATTTAAAATTCTGTTTTATCTTCATTGAGATAGCCCATCCAAAGTAGAGCTGTTACACAAAATATGTATATTAGATAAAGGCTTTTTCCTCCACAGTTGCCTTTAAAAAAAAAAAAAAAAAGAGGAAGTCACTTTTAGCTTCAGAAAACACGTCAGTTTTCAGCTTGAAAAATAAAAGATTGATAAAGATATTAAGATCAGAAAATTTATTCAAACTTAACCACAGGCTTTTTTATATGCTTCACCTATAAATATTTATCAGAAAAAAATATAAAAGGGAATTATTTAATAATCTACTTCTTCACTTCATATTTTGGTAGAGTGTTTTGTTTTTCACAGTTGACTTTGAAGTCTCTTGGTACAAAATTTCTCTTTCTACGATCTTCAGGCATTCAAAGAAAGTAGCTCATCGTCCTTAACAATGGCACAGCCCTCGTGCTGCTCTGGAGATCAGCCACACAGTACAGGTTAAGGGTGACAGGGGAAAGTGTTTGCCTGCAAGTAAAGTTGCCTATAATCGTAGCCACTGATAAGCAGCTCTAAAATAAGCACTCAAAGAAACTTTGGTCAGGGACCTATGACCTGAGCTATAAACAACAGCCAAAATACCAAGGAAGCTATTTACTCCCACACAGACAGATGACTGTTGCTTTCATACAGCAAAACAAAAAGAGCTTCCCTTTACTGTGGTGAATAAAACGCCAGATGTCCATCTTTATCTTCCATCCATATTCACTCAAAATGAAGTTGCCTAAATATAATAAATAGGTCTCTGGCTTTCAGCAAATGAAAACATTTCACTTTGGAGACCTCAGAAGAGGTTTTAGCCACAAGCCAATACTCCTCAGAAAGACAAAATTTAATTTAGCCAAATATTTATGTTTCATTTTCAGAGGACAGTGAGTTATGAACTATTCAAACATGTTTAAGCTAAAGATGTGTAATAATTAGAACAGCCAAATAGCTGTTAATAATTCATCGGTGGAGAACAGCAAGAAATTGGGCCAAAAAAAATGATTAATAGAACTTATCATAATCTTAGAAAAGATATTGATCTGTAAACTGCAAATCAAAATATGTAATATGGCAGAAATGGAACATGAAGAATACTCAAATTATTCTGATATACTAGTTCTGCAAATGCACAGCACCCACGGGCGACATTTTTTAAAAACCAGTTTTACCATTTATGGCTCCTTATGGCTAGAATTCTGAAAGATGTTCAGGCGCAGAGTCCAGATGCTTACAAGTATCTAGGTCCCTAGTTCGTTCTGAAATCCAAAGATAGATAGGCTTCTGACTTCCATCTCGGATCTTCATCTAACATCCTATAGATTTGCACACTCTGTGCAGAGCACTGGGTAAAGCTGACATTTTCAAAGCCATTCCAGAAATGGAAAAGTTTGTACTGGAAACATGAAACAAAGTTAAATACCATATTCCATTTGCTCATTTTGCCAGTGGCATAAAATCAGTATGCACATTCAATGTTAAGATGAGTTGCTATGCAGTGACACTTAATGGGCTTACAAGTCAGTAGCCCCAGCAGGAACATCTGCTGCCATTTTATGCACATTCATGGTACCT